GGAAAATGTAAGGATTACAGTTTATCCACCAGGATTTATGGAGGTACTGTGACATTTTGCCTGAACATGAACACCAAGTTTTTATTACTGTAACATAGCTTGGCATACTGCTTGGGATGCAAGGGCAAGAAAGCAAACTTTTGAAAGTCGCTTTGGAAAGTGACTATTAGATAACAACAGCAACCCATGTGAACACAGTAGATACTACACAGATGCATCAAAGAGATAATGCCTCACCTCCACAGTGCTAAGGACTCTGGGATCAAGCACCATTCTTTCTCAACCTTTTCTACTGCTAGTGTATTGACATCTTGCTTGACCAAGAACATCCAAAGCAAATATCAAGAAGATGCACATGTCATAAACCCTCATTCCTAGGGTTCTGTCACACCACCACCGTGGAAATCATGGCAAAGCTCTGAAGCGAGAGGCCAATTCAGTTCTCAGTGACTTCAGTTCTCAGTGACTCCCACTGAGCTCTGCGGGTTAAAGTAAATGGGTTTTGGTCTGGAACACAGTTGAGAGGGGACCAAACCTGTCCACAGGGATTCCAGAATGCACCTTGTTTTCTTTCTCCTATATAAATGAATGGCTTCTATTGACCTCATAGGACCTATGGGAAAAATTATAGCAGTTACACTTGCAAACTCCACTGTGGACGGAAGACACTAGGCACTCCTGGTAACTAGGGAATCAAGAGAAAGTGTTGGATCCAAGAGATTCTCCTAGCTGTGTGTGTATATATATGCTCCTTCAGGGTCAGTGCAACTCCAACTGTATCAAACTCTCCCAAATTGCAAGAATTCCTAACCAACATAACCAATGTCTTGTCTGCATTAAGCTTTAGCTTGTTTAGCCACTCATTTCTGAACACTGACCTACCACTTTTATTGCCACACTGGCATTAGATTATGGCAAGAGTTGTGTGTCACCCACACACTGACGACCCCTCTGCTCAAATCTCCAGATGACATCCCAGTAGTTTCATATAGGGATTGAAAGTATGGAAAATCAGATGGAACTCTGGGACACTCCACAGGTCAAAGACTATGAGATGAAACAGCAGTCTCCCAGCATCACTTTCAGGGAGAGCCTCTCCATGAATGAATGGAACCACTGAAGAACAGTGTTCCACAAACCTATCCCCACCAAACAGCTTAGAAGGATACCATGGCTGATTGTATCAAACACTGCTGGGAAGTCCAGGAGACGCAACAGGACAGCACTCCCTCTGAGCATCTCATAGTGTAGGTCCACTAGGGTGACCAAGTCAGCTTCAGTTGCAAAACCAGGCTGGAAGCCAGATTACAATGGTTCCAAAGAATCCAATGAATACCTACAGTTGGAAGCTTGGTGACCAACTCAAGAGAGTCTGGTGACTGATAGGATCAATATGTCACCTGCTATCCACTGATGTAGGCCAACATTGGGTTAGCTCCAGGAATGAATGTTGTCTTATTAACGTTTTCTGCAGCTCAGTTCTTAGGACTATTTCACACATTACATAGCAGCAAATGGGTCTTTCCACTGCATTTATGCTCAGTAGGGAGCTGCAGCTAATTCCAGCTCTTTGACAAATGCACTTATGAGACACAGGTGTTTTTGCAACAATGTTTTTGTTCCACTTAATCCTGCCACATTTTAACTGCACACTTAAAGAAAATGCAGGTGCACAGATAATAATGATGTCACCTCAAGTGCAATTTGGGAGGAGAAGCACTTGTGGACTGGCACCGTCCTTCAGCCAGGCCCTTGAGTCGATCTGAAACTTATTCTGCAAGGAACAACCTAGAACCTTGATCATCTCATCAATTTTCAAGGATCAAGCACTCTGCCAGATATACCCCACAGATCCCTGTTAGACCTTGCGTGAATATGAATTGTGAGCCGCTTTGGGAGCTAATCTTGGCAGGGTGTAATGGAAGGCTGTTCCCGCTGTCCTGAGAGGTGAACCAGGCTGGAGCACTGTTCCTAGATTTATTTTTGTTACTCCCCTCCCCCCTTTAAAAGGCCCAGATCTGGTTGAGGAAGAAACTCAGGTTTATGTTTTTAATTTATCAGAGAAGGGAGTCTTCTTAGCAAGCCGTTCAAGTTGCCGCTAGCAAGACTCAATCCACGATTCTTCTGGTAGCTGACAAAGTTAATGAGGGAAGCGATTTTCCTGTGGATCCAGGGGATCAGGTTGCTGTGATTGTCTTACACAATTCTCTTTAATGGACAACAGGGGTCTGGTGGCAGACACGGAGATTTCTTAAAAGAAAGGCGAAGTTGCATAGTATGAATACATAGATGTACTGTTTACTCCACTGCTTGCTGTCCAAGTTTTAATGGGGGAGGGAGAAAAGGAAGGGGGAAAACACTGGTTGCCAATACAGGTTTTCACATCAGGATAATTAAAAGTTTCCCACTTCATCTTGTTTCCTGCCCTTCAGTTTCTCTCACTCAAGAATATTCTCCCACTGGCTTAGTAAACTGTGCTTTAATCCAAATATATCTGCCTGTTACAGAAACTCACTGAGATATATTAGGAACAAGTTGTAGTCAGTAAGCAGATCAGTGATTCTATATCCATTTTAGGAATGTGCAGGACAGCTGGGCATCTGCTTACTGAGAAACACAGTGTAATAGTATCATTTTCTGAAGTGGATGCTGTTGGCTATACTAATCCTCTAAGCTATGCCCATGCACGTAAAACAACATTTTAAAGTACGGCATAAGCCTTTAGTGATATACCCCTTGAATAAGAGGGGAACTAACTCTTCCACAGTATCTGATTGGACTTTCAAAACACATCAAAGGCAGAACGCAAACTCTTCACATACCAGCAGTCATGAAAATGGACAACTGACAGACCACATCTAACATAGCCTAATGAAATTGGTCATGAACCCTGCGAAGCAAAGATGGCAGCCCAGACCTTGAGAGGGCTCCTGTATCTTTAACAGATGAAGAAGAGAGAAGCTTGTCAGGAACCACCACACCTGGTGGAATGTTCCATTCTATGCAACTCTTAAAGGTGTATGAACTTGAGGTCTTGCACTGGTTCCCAAACTTGTGTTTGAAAATGAGACCTCCATGCAGGTCCATTTTCTACCCCTGCCCCTCCAGCCAGTTTGGTGCACTCATTCCATTTCATTTGTATATTGACAGCTTTTGTGACATCCAAATATTTTCCACTGAGATTTGCCATGTGACAAGAGGGCTTGAAACACTCTCTTTGTTGGCCCCACCTCCCCTGTTGGGTTTCCCAGTGGACTGGGAAAGGGAGAGGGGAAGTAATGGACATCAGTATAGCAATAGACTGTCTGTGAATTCATTTGCAGTAGTTTAAAATAATAGAACGTAAGACAACTTTTGCTTATGCAAAAGATGAGCACTGCCAGGTCCAAAACAGGACAAGAGCGATTTTGTAGAGCTCGTATTGCCACAGAATCTAATATACTGATCACTGACCACTAAACAAGATTTTCTCATCACATCCCCATTGATCTCATCCAAGGAGGCCTACAAATGGAATGACCATTGAATGCTACACTTTCACAGCTGCACAGACCTGGCACAGAAAGACTTGTGTTGAATGGCAGAGTCAATCTGTGACATGGGTGGAATTTTATAACTATGGAAACAGTGCTCCCTCCTAAAGGCAAGCCTCTATTATGGGATGATTTAAAGGAGGACACATGAAATTTGATAATGACGTGGGAGTTGTCTGGGAGCATATTCATGCCAGACATGGACTATCACTGTCAACAGGCATCAGGGATGTGAATGTGCTCATGAAGAGCTAGGCGTCATGTTCATACTCATGGAGATTGTTAAAGAGGAAGCGCAATATGGGTCGATCTCTTTCTTTTATTTGTCTCTCTACACACATACTAGCTTAGGGCTCATCCACCCTGATTTTTCTCTGTGCTTTCTTGGCACACACCCACTCTTTTCTGGTCTGTGCCTGAGCGCTTGCTCTCTCCAACTGCAAAAACCTGCTCTTTAATGCTTTTGGAAATCCACAGTAAGGTTGATGGTGAATCCTTTCACACTAAGGAAATAAAACCAGTTTAGGTCAAAGCTTTTTGTTTAACTAAATCAGCAAGAAAATGGACCAGTTTCTGATGCGACATCAATTTCATACCAGAGCAGTTCTAAAGAGGTCACTGTGATTCGATTGCTAATTGTGTGTCACCTAGGATTAAAAGTGCCGTTGAATGGAAATCCAGATATAAAGAGGATTATCTTAGATATTTATGGCTATTAAAGTATTAACGAACTGATGCTCTGTCCAGATGGAAACAATTGATTACTCTTCATTTTACCCCCTCTAAAATGCTGGTGCTTCTTGAATAATTTCTACTGAGTTTCCCTATCATTTTCCCACAGACTCCCCACTCTCTTCTGATTTGAAAACACATCTGAGTGAGCAAAAGCCTAAGAGTTTTGAGACACAAGATTTGGAAAAAAATCAGAGGATCTTACTAATTATTCCTCAGACTCCATTTAATGCCACTGGAAGTTGTTCACTGTGATGGACAAGGGGGAGAGTGAATTTAAATTCTCTGTAATTTGTAGATGCTCTATAGATCCTATAGTATCTACCGTAGTCATATTATGTTGTATGACACTAGCACAAGCCAAACAACATCGTAATTCAAAAGCCCAATGGTTATTTAAAGAACAGTGACTTCAAGGATCTATTTTTCAGGAAATCATTTAGAAAAGTTGGCTAGTATTCAGTAGTAGTCATGTCACTCATTACCAGATGTTTAGGACAAAAAAGGAGTCTCTGTAACCATCATACCCTGCTTGTGAGCTTCTCTAAGGCACCTGGCTGGCTATTATTGGCTACTATGAAAAGCGAGCTATTATGTACTAGATTTAATGATGGATTCAAGACAAATGCACACTCACTACCCAAATGCTTCCAATGAGCTGTGTATAGAAGTTGGCCCATTCACCAGACTATCTAGAATGCATGATCAGAAAACAAGTTTATTACATTTACATACCATCTAAGAAGTCCACCTTCTGAAGCCCTTCGTGTGAGACTTAACTTATGCATCTCAGCCATTTCCCTTAGAGTTTCTGCTGAGTAAAGGCCAATGGGGTTGTTATATTGCCTTGCCGGGCTTAGCTGGTGTTTAGGGCTATTGCCATCTGTGATCGCTGAGCTTGTTTTGGAACCTAGGTCACTTTTTGCTGGTGAAAGGTCAGATGCCACAGACTGAGAGGACACTGAAGATCTAATGTTGACAGTCTTTAAGAAGGAGGAACTATGTGACAGGCTCATCTCTTGTTTGCTGAGGTAGCCTGAATATGCTCCATTGCTTGCTAAAATGCTACTCATGGACCCAGCCGATGTGTTACTTAGAGGATTGATGCTTGCTCGGTTGCCATTGACTTCCAGAACAGTATCCTGTAGAAGCAAACATGCAGGCGAAAGAAAGAAAGAAAGAAAGAAAGAAAGAAAGAAAGAAAGAAAGAAAGAAAAGCAATCATAGAACACATGCAAAAAGAAAAAGTCTACAGCTCTGGAATTCTACACATATCTGCAAGGTTGCCAACCTCTGACTTTTAAAAATAATATTCTCCTTCTGGAAACCAACATGTCAGGGACAGACTCTTACATATCAGAAGTGAAGCCAGGTGGTTTTAGGACAGATTCTGGTGAAATTTGGAGATTTCTGGTTTTTCAGATGCCAATAGCAATTGCTTGACAGAAACACATAGTATTATGCATCAAGTAAGAGCTGTCTGGTTGGCAACCCTACATATCAGACATTTGCAACAGAATAGATGTATGCAACCTTCATAGCCTTGCATTAGTCAAGCGAAAATATTAACCACATCTCTTCCCAAAGCAGCATGTTTCTCAATTCAAGATGCATGTCAATAAAGCTTCTCATCTGAACAACTGCTGATATTAGTTACCATACATGGTTCAACTGCCCATTTGTTCTTACAGAAAGGATATGTGGTTCTTACATAAATTTGGCTTTTAGGATGGCATCTAACTACACCTACAACATATGCACATACCTATATCAATCTTGTTATGTAGATATGGGAGGGCTAATATTTCGACAATCACGCCACATATGATTAGTCTCAAAATTAAGGGCCACTGCCAGCAGAGGCAGAAATTCATGCTAATAAAGGTCGTGCAATGTGGTTAGCAAAATAGGCTGTAAAGAAGATTCTATTAATAGACAATCTCTCTGTACACTTTGCATTTGGAAAAGTGGAACATAGCCATGTACAGCCAAAGAATCTCCACTTCATGTTGCCCCCCGCCCCCAGACTAAACAGGAAGAAAGTAGGCTGCTGTCAGATAGCCTTTTCATTATTGATTCTCTGCTAATTTGGTCAAAATGCAGAATAAAGAGAAAAGACTGAGATGTTTGAAAATGCCAACACAAAGCCAACATTCTTCTGGCAGGACCAAGACCTGAATTCAAAGGAGAAAGTGTTTTGATAGACAGGGATCAAACAAGTGGTTCCTAGAATCCAAAGCAACTATTCTGCAGCACATCACTCCACTTTCACCACTGATTACCTTTGATCTGGGAACATTTGATGACAACACACAATACTGTAGCACAATGACTTTTTCAACAGTACGCAAGTGCTCACTGTTTTCACAAAGCACAGGTGTATAGAAATTGCTTCCCCTTCCTTTCTGTTTTTGCGGCCTCTGCCAATTTTCTGAGAGCTCTTCCCTGTCGCTTCCATCATTTCTCTCCCCGACAAGTGATTTGGGAATGATGCTATGTAAGATGTTCCAAACGGACTTCATGGGGGTGTGTGAAATGGTGATTGCCAGCAATTGTTTTGTTTTGGGTTTTTTTTTTCTTCCTACTGGTGCCCTTTGCTACTTTGTCCCCTTTGGTCCACATTTAAAGGCTTTTCCACCTACGATGCTTATTACCCAGGAAAACAGAAATGGCTACAACATCTCTGAATACTAGTAACCATAATCTGTTGGTTTGTATGTGTTGCACTAAATCACAAGGAGTGTGTGTTATAAACTAAAAATTTTTTTTGCGTCCAGTCAAGGGCACAAATTCTTTGCTAGCTATTTCATTTCAGTTAATACAAACGAGAGATGCATGACTAGGCAAGAAGGAAAATTCTGATCCTAAACCTTCGCTGCCGTGTGGGATATCTTCAGGAGGAGGAGAAAAGGCTAAGGAATAAACCCTACACAAATCTGGAGTGGAGTTCCTAAGACAGTTGGATGGCATCTTGTACGCCTCCTTGCAGCAGTCCAGCTGGCGCCAAAGGTATTGCTCTGCTTTCCTTTGGACCACCTCAGCAAGGAGGAGAGGTGGGGTTCTGTCATCTGGCTAGCCCAGGACCTCCATATACACTGCCCAGGCTTGCAGCCCACGGAGGTCACTTTGGTACTGCTAACACAGCAGTTTGTCTTCACCCCTGGAGGTGCACCCAATGTCTCTTGAGACAGACAGATGTCGCCAACAACAAGTTTATACCTGGTGAATACTGTCTACTCTGTCTGGCAGCAGGTCTCTATAGCCTGCCACCTGCTCCACCTGTCACCTGCTCTTTTTAAATGGCGATGCCAAGAATTGAACCCGAGGCTTTGGCTTGTGAAACATGGGCTCTCCCACTGAGCTTTGTTCCCTCTGTGTAGCTTTCTCTTCTCCGTCTCTCTGGCTGTCCCAGTGTGGCCTTAGGGGTTACGAAAACGAGCATTATTTTTTCCACGGCAAACCTATTGTAACTTTTCTTGTGGCCAGAAGAGGAGGCTGTTATCCTGAGCATCATCCCTGGAGACATATTACTGTCATCTTGCTAGAATACCTTATTTCATGGCAGAGATGGAGTTGGTCTTTCATTCTGTGGCTTCTAGAAACATTGTGATGAATGGAGAATTCAGGAAGCAGGAGTCTAATCTTTCCCAGTGATGCCACGTAGGACATAACTGGCAACACACACACACACACACACACACACACACACACACACACTGCATCCCCTGACTGCACTCTTTTTACTTTTTTTAACAGAGTGAAAGTGCCCTCCCCCCCCCCACTTAAATATATAATCTTGGGGAGGGAGACGGAAAAAGAAATCTATGATGAAATGGCTTACACCTAGCAATGTTTTATGCACAGATACCTGAGCCAGCTACATTTCGTACATTTACTCTAATGATCTATTCCCATGAGCAGTGTAACATTGGAGGAGTGAATTGGCAAAAGCCCACAGATCAGCTTCCTTAAGCTGTGTGGTACATTGTGACTGGGAACCCCTGCCCAGGAGAATGACTCTGCAATCCTTGCACTGATGTTATGCTGCTCTTGTAGGCAGGCCACTTGCACAAGCCCTGAAATGTCCAGACTCAGCCATATCAGGTGCAGTATGAACTGGCTCTCAACCTGAATCAGAAATGCAACCCTCCACCCGTGTCCTCCTTAGGGACATGATTTGGAAGTTTAGGGACAGTCACTTATGCTTCCTCTCTTGGCACTTGCTTCGAAATCTGAAGCAGCATGGTAGCAATATCAACCCTAACATCCAGAGGCTCTTGGTTGCAACTCAGCAAAGCTCTTATCCACACCTGTTCCACAAAGCCCTTTATTTAGAGATGCGAGGAGTCACACGTGAGGTACTTGATCAGTAAGAGTTTGCTGAGCAGGCTTTCTGAAGGGATTTGTGCTACTCCTGTGACAGGCTTGTTGCCCTCCCATGGTTCCCATAGAGATGCAGAACTGATGGTAATGGTATGAACAGCATCATGTGGGATGTGAAACACAAGAGCAGTCAAGTAAAACATTCCTAGAGTGAACATGTTTACACACGGGGAGGAATGTTTGTCCAGCCAGCAGGTAAACTTCCTGTTTCCTTTTGGGCTGGGACAGACTTCCTCTGCATGTGACTAGAGGTGGGAGTTGCCTCACCTGTGCAGGTAACGACAAAAGCACAGGGCAGGATAGCCATTTCTCTCTCTCTATGACTACTTTTGTAGAAGAAGCAACATCTGCTTAGCCAAAGATGCTCTCTTGGCTTCCAGCCAAGAGAGGACAAAGGGACTGTCTCCTTATGAGATAGTATCCAGGTGTACGTTACTTTTCTAAGCTAAGTCTGCCTTCTGGGATCTGATTGTGAACAGAATGTGAGTAAACTCTTTTTTATACTTTTATAGAAGACTGTGTCGTGTCTTATCTTTTATGGGGGAATAAGGGGAAAATACCGGAACAGTTATTATAGAGGCTTTAGCGAGCCTGAGCAAATGCATCCGCTGTGAGTTTAAAAAAGGGAATGTTACTCTGCTAAAATTGTGAACTTGTTTACACAAGTTGGAAAGGCTATAATTAAACAATAAATTCTCTCTTGCATCCCTGAACATTCCCACACATCACACTTAGGGCTCATGCAGACTTGTGCTGGATTCATAGAATTGTAGAGCTGGAAGGGACCCCAAGGGTCATCCAGTCCAACCTCCTGCAATGCAGGAATCATAGAATTATTGAATTGTAGCATTAGAAAGAGCCTTGAGGATCACCTGGTCCTATTCCCTGCAATGCAGGAATATGCAGCTGCCCCTTATGGGGACCGAACCTGCAACCTTGGCATTATCAGCACCACACTCTAATCAACTGAGCTATCCAGAAGACAGGTTTCCCGCTTGTCCTGTGCTTTCTAGGCATGAGTCTGAGTGGTTTTGTGCTTGCGCCACCACTTCCCCCAGGGAAACCAGTTCTTTAGTGATAAATCGGAGCAAATGTCGATCCGGAGAAATCCTGATTGACATTTGCTCCAATTCATCGGTATAGATCGGATTTCCATGGGGAAAAGGGTGTGGCAAGGGCAAGCCTGGATAAGCCCTAAGTTAGTGGGGCTGAGCAGCTGCTGAAGTTCAGGTGTCCCTGAATTCACCTGTGCTGTAATCCAGGTAGCATTGTAGCATCCTCCCAATTTGTGAGGTCCCTCAAGGCCTTGCTACCTGCACCTCTGCTACTTCCCTCTCATCTGGAATGTTATGAGGCCTTCCTAGGGCAGAGTCAAAGCCCCCTGCACCCCCTCACCCCCCTCACTGGATGTAGCCCTGCATCCTACAAGCACCACCTGGGCCACATGAGTAAAGGACTTAGATATTACAGCTTGTAGCATGGGAACCAGCCACAAGCAAGCAGAGCCAGCTCTGCAAAGGTTAACCTAAAGCAGCTCTCCACAGGATGGGCCCAGCAAGCAATCGGCACTGGTCCAATCTTAAATAATACGTACTGGTTCCCCCACAGTGAAGCATGGGGGAAACCTGCCATTTTTGGCCAGAGAACTGCAAACTGACCTACTTTTCCTGCTATGGACTACAAATGAACATTCTAAAAGGTGTCCAGGAGAGAGAAACATTTAAGACTTCACACAGACCTTTGACCTTACTTGATCCTGGGATGCCAATGATAACGTCAAAAATTTGTATTTCTAGAGCGAGGGCTCAAACACTCTTTGCAAATCAAACAGCAGTGCCGCAGCATTCTGTTGCAACTGGTAACCGGAATAATGAGCTCAAATGTAACATTTATTTATCTGAAACTTTTTTTTTATCCCATCTTTCACTGGCAAGGTCCCTGAGGCAGCATGATAAAGGCTGCTATCTAGAATACAATCAGATGTCAAATCTTCAGAGGTCACTGGTCCTACGGGCAATTGCTCAACCAATGTACCTAAGCTGGAGCTGATAGATCTATTCTGGTAATAGCTGCCACTTTAGGCCAAGGTGTCCATAGTCTTCTTTCTCAATGTTAGGACTCCAAGCTTGCTTAGTTTCTTCAGGAGGGTAATCAAGTAAGGTTGCAAACCTGCACCCAGGTAGGCTATTTGAACCCTAACTGCATAGAGAGAGTCCTATGTGCTGTGCATACAATTGAACTTGAACAGGTTCTATGAAGACAGTCATGAATTGGCATAGGTTGTGGGGATGGAAGATGAGGAGTAAACATAACTCAGTGTGGAAAAGAAGCTATCTCACTGGCTTTGACTGATTCTGAGGTATCTCAGTATCTGAGGTATTGCTCATTCTTTACAGTTCATCTTGTAAAATAGCTCCCCTCCCGCAACTGGTCTGTTTGATCTGCCTCCATGGTCTTCACTGTCACTTGAGCTCTAATCTCCACCATGCTTATGAAGTGCATACACAACATCACAGTTTTCATTCCAAATTGCTTATTATGGAATAACTGCTACCACCTCATTCTCTATCACAGATGGGGTGCGAGCGAATCAGTGTGTGGCAGGGGAAATGGCCTTGTATCAGGTTGCTGCCAAAGAGAAGCAGAAAGGTACACATCTGAAATATCTGGTGTGATGAGCCGCAGGAGTTTTCCAGAGCACCTACCTTTTGATGAGGGATCACAGGCATTGGAGAGTCAATTCTTGGGGTGGCTGTAGGAACTGGAGCAGGACGTTTTGATCTGGAATTAATGCAAAAGACAAGGTAATCGAGTAGCTGGAATTTCTCCCCATAACTTAAAGATAGCACTGAAAAATACTTCAGAGAATATAATGGTGGTCTCCCCCCCCCATCCCTGTCCCCCAGATCAGCCTCCCTCCTTCTGGTTTGGTAACAGTAGCATCCACTTCTTCTTTTGGGTCTCTCTCTCTATATAAAAGCTTGTTGCTGATTTTCCATTACACAGAAAGAAACATAACCAGGGTGGGGCTACACAGACGTTGGGCCACAGGTAAAGAAGCAGCCTTGGTGGGCAGGAGTCACTGGGAACAAGCTCAGCCCTCAATTAAGAGTCAGCCAGATTTCTTTTGTGCTGTTTTTCTAGGCACAGGGCCAGGTTTTAAAATTCTGTATCTGAGCAGGGTTTTTTTTGGGTCCAGGTGCTTTCTCCAAGAAAACCGACATTTTACCACTGAATCGGAGCAAACCGCAGCCAGGTTTTTCACGGATTGCCATTTGCTCCAATTTAGCAGTAAAGCACAGGTTTTTCTGAGGAAAGCACCAGGACAGAAAACACAACATATTGGGACACAGAGCTTTAAAGTGTGGACTTGTACCTGGAAAGTGAAGTACAAAAGTATGTCTGGATGAGCCCTCAGTGATATCCAGTGCTATTTTTCTAGAAAAAGACATGCCAGAACTCACCATGAACATCTCCCTTGTTCTCTTAGAATGGCAATGGCGCCCACCTGAGAGGTGCTGGAACTAAGTTTCGGTAAGTTCCAGCTGAAAAAAAAAGCCCTGGTGATATCCCCACTGAAGCATTTGGTTGTCAAAATCTGCCCTCCATTCCTAGCACTGGGCGGCTTTTGTCTTCCTAGTCCTAAAGTAGGTTACAAGGCCTCTTCATGTACACAGAACCCTGAAATATGCTATGACATACCACGAACACACCTCCTCTGTCATAACAACAGGTATTTGTTGCTCTCACACATAGCACAGTACCTCGAATTGGGGACATGGTCCTTAATTTTTTTATACTCCTGGCTAGGGGTGGGCAGTATATCAACATACACTATGTAGAAGAATGAAAGGTTACTACCCCCTTTCTCTCCCCCCTCCCCTGCTCTCTCTCCCCACCTCTTTCCCCCCAACCTTATACAGCATACAACACAAAAATCTCACATCAAATATAACCGACCCAGAGAAATAACTTTATGATCTGAAAACAGAGACGAAGTTTGTACTATTGTAACCCAAGAAATCCTTAATAAAAACAATACTAAATAAATAAATCAGGGACGCGGGTGGCGCTGTGGGTAAAAGCCTCAGCGCCTAGGGCTTGCCGATCGAAAGGTCGGCGGTTCGAATCCCCGCGGCGGGGTGCGCTCCCGTTGCTCGGTCCCAGCGCCTGCCAACCTAGCAGTTCGAAAGCACCCCCGGGTGCAAGTAGATAAATAGGGACCGCTTACCAGCGGGAAGGTAAACGGCGTTTCCGTGTGCTGCGCTGGCTCTCCAGATGCAGCTTGTCACGCTGGCCACGTGACCCGGAAGTGTCTCCGGACAGCGCTGGCCCCCGGCCTCTTGAGTGAGATGGGCGCACAACCCTAGAGTCTGTCAGGACTGGCCCGTATGGGCAGGGGTACCTTTACCTTTTAAATAAATAAATCACCTGAAACAGACCTGAAGTTCAGATTGTGATAACCGTTTCTCCGGAGGGAGCTTTAAAACAGAGCATTCATGTCCAGCAAGGGGCCATCACTGGGAAGGGCATGCCGGACAAATTGCTGGGAACAGCTGTGAGGGGCTATCCCTACTGTTGCCCGCTCCCTCACTGGGAAGGACCTGCCAGAGAGCGTGGTTGCGATGGCTCCTCCTGCCCACCCCTTCCCTCCCTCCACATCCCAGGACCTTGACATCATGATGTATTGCCATATTGCGATGGTTAGCTTGTGATATATCATGATGTTGAGAACCAGATATTGCCCTACTCCTGGCCGTGAATTGTTGGAGGAATTTCTACAGAAGCACAACCGTTCCTGTCCTTGGCCCCCCAAGGGACTTCCATGTATAGGGGCTTGCACCCAAGCTGCTTGAGTGAAGCAGCACAGCCAGAGGTGTTACAGCAACCTGTGCTCTTCAAAGGCCTTCAAAGCCATGGGCCGCTATGATGACATGTCCCACGCCTGACTGATATGCTGCCATTGTCGCTGCCATTGTTATTCTTGTGGAAGCTCTCTTCTAACATTAGCTTTTAAAGGCATTTCAAGGCACCACGCTAGACACAAAGGCTTTACGGATAATTCTTGTCTTGAGCATCTTCCGCGGTGGCATTTACAACTGAGCATGAAAGCTCACTGCATTAGGCATACAAAGAACTGAAGGGGAGGGCAGCAGAGGTGAAATCCCTCGAGGAAGAATGAAAACATGATTTATGCAGGGGCCATGGTCTCTCAAGGGCTTGTCCCTTCGTTCAGGGACACAGGTTTCCTGGAGCTCATTCTTTCACTGTCAGGGTCAAATCTGAACAAATAAATTCAAGGTTCTTTCTCCCTAAAGTAAAGGAACTGCTATTGAAAGAGGGAAAATATGTAAGGCTGTGAACTGTTTATTGCACAAGCACTAGGGAAAGTTTTCATTAAAGAGGTGCAAGGTTTCAAGCCATGACTCATTCCCTCCTTCCTCACCCCTCTTTTTGGTCTTCTTAATGGGCATTCTAATGTAATTTCAGAAGTTTCTTGTACATGCATTTTTTATGCTTCCCGTTTAATAGTGGAAGGAGAAATTTGCACCTCTCTCTGTGTAATTTCCAAAGCTGTCATGCATCCAGCCCTCGTGTGATCTCCCCAGGTCACTCCAAACCTTGCCTGCTCCACACCCTCCTGGAATATTTTCACCTTGCTGGAATGGGTCATTTAATTATAATGATACCTCTTGCCTACCTGGGCTGAAGATGTATACGTGTACAAAATGTACTGATTCTGTGTGGTTTAAATGTGGCTTATTATACAAAGGTGAGAGTCATATTCATTGCTCCACCCACTTTCCCCTATGGTGTTCCCCACCAATGGAATGTGGCCTGGAAAGCTGTCCAGGACAGTATTTGACCCTTGATCTGAAAAAATGTTTCTAATCCCTGCACTACAACGAAGTCACTTTCTTCAATCTAGTTAATATACGGGCTGAATATTGCACTTGGTTAGTGACATGTGTGGGTCCTGGGCTACGGGGAAAATAAAGGTGGGGTGTGCATTGCTTTAAACTCTTGAAGAAAGGTACAAGAGCATCAAGGCATACTTCCAGCTTCCCTTTGGTGTGTCACGACAAACGATTTCACAGACAAAACTGAAAAGGTTGTGTCTGTCATCTTGCATTTGTAGCTCCTTGGTGATCCTGGAGCAGGAATGCCATTTTATTCTTCAAGTTACTGATTTGTATCATGTCATATTGCAACACGACACATACCCTCCCTACGTTCTCTGGAGCTATACAATTCAAACTATTGGTTTTGCTTGTATTTATTCTTGCATGAGAATCTAAGAATACAGCTGCCAAGTCCTCAGTGGCAACCACAGATTCAGTTATGGTGGGCAGCTGGAAATCCCTGAATCTTTTTCTACATCGAGAATAATGCTGTTTTTAAAAAGTTGCTAGCAACCCACAGAGACAAAGAGTGAGAGAAACAAACCTCACTGGGTGTTAGAAAAAACAACTGCCTGCCAAACCACATTTGTGGGCCTCCTCACTGCTCAAATCAAAACGAATACCAGCAATCTGGCGCAACACACGTTTAACATCTACTAATATCACCCTGTTTCTCTGTTGTTTCACCTACATTTCTCATGGTTTCTGATCTGCTGGTAGCTGGTTTCAACCAGGCACATTAGCAAGACAGGTTCTAGATTTTAGCACTATAGACAGCTCCTAGCAAGCAACTTGCTCCAGGGAAAATTGAAAGTGAACTGAGGCCTTACGAGCCTCTGCCTCCAATGTACACTTTCACTTGATTGAAGAATGGAGATTGTTAACAGGTCAACACTCGTCTCTTCTCCCCGACGCCTAGTTTCCCAAGCACAGGGGTTTCTTTTAATGTGCAGAGGAATGTTCCACAATGCAACCCCAAGCCCCACCTGAGGTCTGAATAGGTATATCCTAGATGCAGGTCTACAACCTCAACGAGAACGAGGCCTTGGCCTGCATAACAAAGTACCAACTACATGGTGCTCACAAGCTCTGATCCATGCTTCACTCCTTCCTTGATCACTAACCCACAAGCACTCCCCTGGTTCCTCATTCTGAGAGTCCAACTATCTACTCCTCTTGCTCCTCTTTCCTCCTCTACTTGGCCTGCCTCTCTGGAATTTACCTCAGCTTTCCAGCCAAGGATTTCCTCTTACCATTCGGTCAGATCGCTTAGTGCAAGGGTGGGGTGGTGCCTGCAGCCCTTCAGACGCCATTGGACTCCATTATCATTAGCCCCAGCCCAGCATGGGCAAGCATCAAGGATGATAGGAATTGTAGTTCAGCAAGATCTGGCAGGCCACAGGTTCTTACTTCTTTAGAGGCCATGACTCTACTGATAGCAGGTGGGGTGGGGGTAGTGAGTGGAGATTTCCAGAATCACACTCAGTCCAGTTATTCAGGGAAGGGAACAATAACCTAAAATCGCACAGCCTCATTTACAGTGACTAAGCCAGCCTTTTCTCAGCTTTTAGGTCTGGAACTGCATTAAAAGCAATGGTCAGGTTACTTACAGCAGTCTCAAACACACCTGTAGCTTCAAAGCAGCCCACTTTCGAAAAACCCTGTTCTTTTCATTTCAAATTCTGATCCCAAATTATATTTTTCAGGTTATTAATGCAGTTCTAATATACAGAAAACAGAAAGGAAAATAATCACATGCTCAGATAGCCACATGAGAGCTGCACTTCATCTGACTCAAAGGGTTTTTGAATTTTCTTTCCATAAAGAGCCACTCAACAGAATGAGAGTTTCATCTTTTCCCCTTCCTATTCATTTTCT